TGCTACGATCTGTCTAATTTCTTCACTGTAAAATACCTTTTTATTTCATAATTAAGAATTAATTTGTAGGGTGGTTCTCTGACATGCTAACCTTTCACTCAATGGTTTTAGCATATTTCTTTCATCCACTGGTTTTAGCATTCATTGATACGTATTACCTAAATTAGTTTTTACACTGAGGGTGACAAAATCAGAATTTGTTTAACTTATTGCTATTTTAGGTATTCATTAACTAGCATTTTATATATAGAAGAGCTTTTTATTTATCCCCCCTTTCTCATTTTATTATCACCAAGGAGAAGAATCCTAAAAACTAAATTTTCTAACTATTCTTATCACTAGTCCTTTTTTCATATTGTGCTTCTCCATGTTGGTCAATGCTAACTCCTTTAAACTAGGTCCAATATCCTTTGGAAATGAACTCATTACATGTAAATGTTTTTCTCCTTTCTGTCATAACAGAATGTTCCAGGTTCACGTTGTAATGTACTGTTGATCTGGAATCAGCATTCTCTCAAAGGAGCATTGGTTCCTTTTAGTGAAAATGATATTTAGACGCCAAAATCTGGTATTCAAGGTGATCACTGTTATGCTTGGGCGAGAAATTCTAGGTCTCAAGGTCTTCTCAATGGACCTGATGAGGGTTAAAAAAAAATTTATGATTTTATTCTACAATGTCTAATTCAAATCTGACACCACACCATTCTTCCTTAAATCCCACCATTTTATCTTTGCCATCTCCTCTTTCAATGAGAACCATGGGTCCCAAACAATATCAATACGCAACCTCACTTGCTTTTCCTATGACCCAGACAGACATCATCATGTTAAATAAAAGTACCAAGCAAATGTACGTGTCAACGACAAGCAAAGACCGTTCATACTTCTTGCCGTTACATTGTATCCCCTAAGGACATATACTCAAGATCATAGTATGCTAGCAATCTGAGATGTGAGTAGGTTCATTTGGTTGTAGATTTTATCATTAATACATATTTTTAATTCTAACAGTTTTATTGATATATAATTCACATATCATAGAATGCAGTAGGTTAATATACTAAAACCCACCAGGCATTTTTGTAGTAAATGTTAGACCTTGCTTTTGTGTCCACCCTTTTGATTTACACAGTTGAAAGAGCACACTCGACTGATTTTGAGAAGCAGCACCCCCTTCACTGATTCTTGCAGGACACTGCCACCCACCCCTTATGGTGCACTATTCAAAATTAATTTTCTGATTTATGACTTTCCATCTTGATATTTTTTACAAAAATAAGCCAAATATAGGTGTATATAGATATATATGGATACATATTCCCAGTTCTCTGTCTTATACAACAGTATACTTCGTGTACTTTTTGCATCTTGGTTTTTTTTCACTGCATGAAAATATATTCTAAAGAGTTACACAAGAGTCTTAAGTATAGGAACAGGCGATCCAAAATTGGCGGCGAGGAGGGTGTAGGAGGCCTGCCAGGGCTTGATCAAGGGCAATGTAACTGAGAGGAATTACTGAAACCCAAATGAAGGCTAAGCATGCTAGTGGGACAAGAGGAAAATAAAAGGAAATAGAGGAAAGAACTAGGAGGCAAAGGGCATATATAGAGGTCTAAATACAGGCATGCACATATATAAATATATTTATATATATGATGGGGAAATAGATCTATGTGCATATATGTATAGGTTTAGTATTAAGGCAGCAGATGGACATTGGGCCCCCACTCAAGCACTAACTCATTGCAAGAACACATTGCTCTATTAAATTGGCATTCCAGGATGCACACCTTCCCAAAATGATTGCTGAAGAAAAATGTGAACATAAGCAAAGGTGGTGAAGAAAGCTGATGGTGCCCAGCTATCAAAAGATACAGCGTCTGGGGTCTTAAAGGCTTGAAGACAAACAAGTGGCCATCTAGCTGAGAAGCATCAAAGCCCATATGGAAAAAGCACAACAGCCTGTCTGACCTCGAGGTGTAGAAGGGATCACTTATCAGACATCAAAGAACTGAAAATCATATCAGTGGGTGCCCGCTTTACTGACAC